TCTCACTGGAAACAGCGCCAGCTCAGAGACCTCATGGAATTCTTGGTGTTTGGAGCCCCATTCTGTCTGCTGTTGGAAATGCATTTAAAATTCAGGTGATTTGAAGTTACTCCCAGTCTCCCCTATATGAACTGGAATAGTGAATTACAATCTTTGTTTTGGCGTTACTTCCTGCACAGTCTAGTAATGGAACTAATTGTTGGGATAGCTGGTTCCATTTCATGGGAGATCAGCTGGCTTAATATACTGCGAGCTGAGAACTAGTTGTAAATTATTAATTGTTGAGCATGAGCTAGTTTAAGCCATTTCTTACTTCACTCCCAACATGGGAAGTAGCTCAAAGATTTTTACAGATCATAAAAAGAAGTTTTTCTCCTTATATTGTCATGGAAATTTTTGGCTTAAAAGCCTTTCTACTGCCTGACACCACAAACTAATTCATCATTTTGATATGTTTGAAATTTACTCTTGACAAATAGAGAGTGATAATGTTGCTAATGTTTCAAAATTATATCTAAATTTAGGTTCACCTAAGGAGAGTAATGCACAGAGATCGGTTCATACGGAAAAGTTCAGTACTTCCAGCCATCGGGAATCGCATATGGAGAGATCTGATCCACAATCCCTTACATTTAATTTTCTCAGTAGATGTTTTGGGTATGACTAGCTCAACATTGGCATCTCTTAGTAAAGGGTTTGCTGAGCTTTCAACTGATGGGCAATTCTTGCAACTGAGAGCAAAACAGGTACATCTTTCTCGCTTTAAAAATTGAGTTGATCACTTTGGCAGTTTACTTAAAAGTCTGAAAATTGATCAGGTTTGGTCGAGGCGGATCACTGGTGTAGGTGATGCATTTGTTCAAGGAACAGAAGCCCTAGCACAAGGTGTTGCCTTTGGGGTATCAGGAGTTGTTACAAAACCTGTAGAGAGTGCCAGACAAAATGGTATTTTAGGGTTTGCCCATGGCGTAGGACGGGCTTTTCTAGGATTTATTGTACAACCAGTGAGTGGTGCATTAGATTTTTTCTCATTGACTGTCGATGGAATTGGAGCAAGTTGTACCAGATGTTTGGAGGTTTTGAGCAACAGGACCGCCTTGGAGAGAATTAGAAACCCTCGTGCTGCTCATGCTGACGGTATACTCAGGGAATATGATGAAAAGGAAGCTATAGGCCAGGTACCTCCTCAGTTTATTTTATTGTCCTCTAGGAAGACTGCATATTGAGAAATTTCGGATGCAGTCTACTATTCTAGTATATATATATATTATTTTACTTATTTTTGTCAACTTCATAACTTTAGTATTCAATTCAATCTACTAGTTTTACATTCTACGTCTCCTTCTAGGCTATGGTAAAACTATATTGAATTTTTTTACCTGAAAGTTCTAGTCAAGCTTGCCACTCAAGCTCGAATTTCCATGCTGGTTCTGATTTCTGGTTTCTGTTTGTTATTTGTTTATGCAGATGCTCCTTCACCTAGCAGAAGCAAGTCGACATTTTGGCTGTACAGAGATATTCAGGGAACCCTCAAAATTCGCGTTGTCTGATTGCTATGAAGAGCATTTCCTAGTTCAATACAAACGCATTGTCGTGGTGACCAACAAGAGAGTTCTGTTATTACAGGTTAAACCAATTAGCATACGATTTCACATGCAGGTTTTCGGTTGGTGTCTAAAAATTATTTTATTTAGCTGACATGTTGTTTCCATGTAGTGCTCTGATCTGGATAAGATGGATAAGAAACCCAGCAAGATCATGTGGGATGTGCCTTGGGAGGAACTTATGGCCTTGGAATTGGCAAAGGCAGGTAGCCAAAGGCCATCGCATCTCATACTGCATCTGAAGAATTTTCGGAAGTCAGAGAATTTTGCCCGGGTTATAAAATGCAGCGTGCCAGAAGAATCAGATGGACTAGAACCTCAAGCTGTTCGAATCTGTTCAGTAGTGCGCAAAATGTGGAAAGCATATCAGTCTAACATGAAAAATCTTGTTCTCAAGGTTATTGCTATCACTAATCTCGTTATAGTTATTAGATTAATATATTTTAATCAATTAATTTGGTTATGAATCATGGGAGATTTACGATTGAAGAGACTACTTTCAAGGTTCTTTGGTCGTCAATTTTATAATATGATCGATATAACATTAAAACATAGTTTAACTTTCCTGGTTTATGTTCCACACAGCTTTCTAAAAGCCGGTGTAACATATGCAAGTATAGAAGCCCGTGCCATTGCACCACACCTAATGGATTTTCCATCTTCTCGTTGCAGGTTCCTTCAAGCCAGAGACATGTGTATTTTGCTTGGAATGAGGCTGATGGAAGTGAGTCAAAATCGTACAACAACAAGGCTATTATTAAATCGAGAGAACTTTCTTCTTCATCTTCAAATTCTGTCTCAGATGATAGAAAGCTTGTCAAACATAGTATGAACTTCTCAAAAATCTGGAGTAGTGAGCGAGAATCCAAAGGTCGATGTTCTTTACGCAAGAAGCAGGTAATTCCTTTCCATTGCGCTCTACATCTTTGAGCTTAGCTTTAAAAGCGGTTGCCCTGCGTGTTCATGTGCTTTACTACAACTTTTTATATACTCTTGTGCTTTGTCCCAACTAATCCGCAAGATCTTTTTAGAGAATCCTTTCCAGCTTTCACAATGATCTGAAAAAAAATCAGGAATTCTGATTGAACTCTATATAATAGAGGAAAATCAAGACCAAAGGTCCAAATATAATACTCAAATTTCCCCAGCCAAAATATACTCAACTTTCTGATTTTCTTACCGTCTAGATTAGATTAACAGTATACTAATGACACTGTAAAATTTTGGGCTGTAGCTTAAGCTAAGATGAAGTAGGTTTGATTGGGGCACCAGGATAGATGTCTATAAGAATCCTTCCACATATTACTTTGTGGGACGAAACTTTGATAGTTCACCGCCGAATCAATTTTATTGACGTTTTCTTACAGTTATTTCCATTTTTGCTTTCAGGTTTCTGAAGATGGAGGATTATGTACTATCTGGAGACCTAGTTGTCCAGAGGGGTACGTAAAGATCAAAGAGAATCAAAATTCCAAAAAAGAAAAAAAAAAACTATTGCTGTATTGAAATACTTATCTAGTACCCTAACAATGCTGCATTGAACCGTTGAAACTGAAGGAGTTTTCGTCATTGTTTTTTCTTTGCCAGATTTGTGTCAGTGGGTGATGTAGCTCACATTGGTAGCCATCCTCCAAATGTTGCTGCTGTTTACAATAACATTGATCGAGTCTTTGCACTTCCTGTGGGTTATGACCTCGTAAGTATCTCTCTCATCCATTAATTCCACCTCTAGTTAATTTATAGCATTTAACCGCACAATTCTTTCAACCCTGAACCCGTATTGGGTGCACAGTCTGTTAAGACGCTAACCGAATCAAACCTGAGTTTGTGTTTGTCGCCATTGATACATAATGTTAATCACTTCTCAGGTGTGGAGGAACTGTCTAGATGATTACGTAAATCCGGTATCGATCTGGCATCCACGGGCTCCTGAAGGATTCGTCTCTCCTGGATGTGTTGCAGTTTCTGGTTTCAACGAGCCAGAGCCCAACACAGTCTATTGCATGCCGACGTCTCTTGCCGAGCAGACAGAGTTTGAGGAACAGAAGGTTTGGTCCTCACCTGACTCGTATCCGTGGGCTTGCCACATTTACCAGGTCCGAAGTGACGCACTACACTTCATGGCTCTGAGGCAAACCAAAGAAGAGTCTGACTGGAGAGCCATTAGAATTCGAGATGATTACAGGTCCATAGAATCGGAATCCGGTAAGAATTTGCGTGTAGAATGAATCTCTTCACATTTTTGTTTTTGGCTTTTGGGAAAATATTGCTTCGTGTGTAAAGGAAACTAGACTTGCAAACAATGAGGGTTTTCTACGTTTTGGGTTTTCGTCAAAGAGGCCTTATATGTTGATCTGTGTACATTTGTGTATAACAACACTTATACGTCCCCGGGAAGGATTTATCTGTACAATTTCTTGGTTAGAAAAAACTCAAATGTAGAGTTTTGTCAAATGACTTCTTTTAATAAGATTGCAACACTTATACATTCCTTTTTTTTTCGTTTCTTACCGATAGTATTTTGCCATTATTTTTTCAGTAACAAGCTTCAAGCGATTTTTTTTTTTTGTTTTGTTAAAATTCGGAACACGAATCATTACTTGATTTTTGAAACACAAATTCCGTCACTATCCTTAGCGTGTGTTGTTCTACACAATGGCCTCTAATATTATAAGATTTTGAGAATGGTTTTTGTTATGATTATTATGCTTTTATTGTTGATAAAGTTTTTAAACCCTGCGTTGAGGCGGGAACGTGCAAGGCTTATGAGCACTATCACGACGCATTTACCATGACATATGAGAGCTCACTACGTACTTTGGCGCGTTAATTCCACCGCTCATATTCTCGCTAAGATACCAGCGAGAATGCTTAAAGATTTGATCCAAACATGCTCATCATCATACAAATATTTGAAACGCGATGTTAAGCGCACATCGAACTATTCACGCCATTCAATAAATTGCTTAAAGTGAAAATTTTGAGATTATTTCACTATGGTCGAAATTTCATGTTTTTCTTATTTGTTATAAGAATATGATTGATCACTACGAATGGATACTTCTACAACACTAAGAAAAGATTTAATAATTACTACAAGCCAAAACAAAATTTCTATTTTGTGGTTGCTATTGTCAAATAAGCCATGACCTTTTTGATTTTTCTAAATTTTGTGAATCAAACTATTTGTCGGCAGGAGCGAACGACCGTTATGTGCACTGGCGATTCTGGAAAAACAAATAAATGTTAAAAGTATTAATCGAAGTCACGCGCTTTCTCGGGCGCGTACATGGAAACTTCACACTCTTCCCATACAAATGGAGAAAATATTAAAGAGGCGCGAGTGGTGAAAAAAACAAAAAAAAAGGAAGTTATTAAGCGACGTCGTGATATCAACTACCAATTCTTTGGATCCACAAATTCTCTATTAGTATACAAATCAATACTCTGTATCTATCTTTCGCGCTTGAGTTTTTGAGAAGAGACGATGGAAGGATTGATCAAAGGTTTGGCCGATGTGGCTTTCGGAGATGATGATAGGAACTCGAGGGACGAGAGATCCAGATCTACTTGGGCTAATGTTCGTATATCAAATCCTGTTCTGCTTCTTATTCTAATTTTCTGTTTCTGATGAACGATCCCTTCTTTTCTGGATCTGAAAATGGTCGCCAGGTGGTTTCCGGCGAAGACGAGGATCAGAATCGCGCGGGAGAATCGTCACCGTCGCAGCACGGTCGACGCCAAAATTTAGAGGTAAGGAGTGAAAATTCATTCAGATTAGCGAATTCTGGAAATCGGAACTCAGATTAGGAAGTTGTGCTTCAGTAAGTGTTCTCACTCGGAATCTATGAAGTATGAAAATTAAGGGGCTTCGATAGATTTAGCTGAAGCTTTGTGTAGATAAGTCTTTGGTGAGAATATAGCTCTCAAGTCACTGTTTTAAGATGCCGGAGAGAGCAACCATTTTAATTTCCCCGTTGCTATGCATCTAATTAATGTCGCGTTCTCGTTTCCCTCGGCGTAGGAGAATCAATGGGAGAGAAAGGGAGAAAGGATGCCCACAAGGCATTCACATCAGGTTTGGGATCAAAGACATCTCAACATTTTGATATAAAACGCATTTGAGTTTCAGTGGAGATTGCTAATTGACGAAACAGTTTATGATACCAAGCCATAATGGAACTACTTTATTCGTTTCTACGTTTGTTCTATATAAGATAATCATCTGAATGATATTGTTCATCTCAAAAACTTGGTCTATCATCTTCATTGCATTCACAAGTATTCAGGCCCTTTACCTGCAAAAAAAAAAATAACCTTTTAATATCCCGGGTTTTGATTTTTACCACGCAGGAGGACCAGGAAGAGAACACGTATGCGGCTCAAGTAACCGAGCAACAAGACTTCTCGGTGAGCTTTATCTTCATTTACTCCCACATTTAGCTTAATTTATATAAAACTATATAAGAAGATATCAAACCTCATGCCAAGTTTACAAATGTTGGGATCTAATGTTGGCATTTGATTCCATGTGCAGGAAACCCAGAAAGAAGACAATGACGGTTGGGAAACTGTGGGGAAAAAGAAACCTGCAAGGCGATCTCATAAGGTTTAAGATTGGGACCTGAGACTGAGCTTTAACCGTTGAATTTGACCCGTCTTTTCACTGATTTGGTTTGCGTTATCTCTGTCTCTGCAGGTCCAGAAGGAGCAGTGGCAAGAGTATAAATGCCCTGCGAGCGAACAACACTACTCAGATGACGTTGAAACTAATGGAAGCCTAGAACCCTCACAACTAGAGCTCTCAGGTCTCTCAGAAGCTTGCAACAAACTTTGGGAGCTCGATTCAAACCGCCTTGTTCCTGGAAACGATTATCAAATCGACTGTGGAGATGGGAAAAGGGTTCATGAGAGATCAGACATGGCTGAAGGATTACTGTTCTCTTGGGTCAGCGACGAAGTCTTTAGAAAACCTACTTTCGCCAGATTCTGCTCGTTGCTTGACAACTACAACCCAAACGAAGGTTACAAAGAAGTAGTCACAGAGGAAGAGAGGCAAGAGCAAGCGGCTTTCATCGAAGAAATTAGCAGAACCGCTCCGATTAAGTACCTTCACAAGTACCTTGTGCTCAAGGACGTTGCTCCTGAAAGCTACCAAGAGTTCAAGAGAATGCTGACTAGTCTCTGGTTCGATCTCTATGGCCGTGGAGGTACCTCTGGCTCCTCTTCTGCGTTTGAGCATGTCTTTGTTGGTGAGATCAAACAAACTGGTGGGGAACAAGTCTCCGGATTCCATAACTGGCTTCAGGTAAAACTCTTGTTATTTTCTTCATGCCATGAATCCAAATCTTTTGGAATCCTTCAAAAGATAATATTTGTGTTCTCTTTTTTATTGTAGTTTTACCTGGAGGAAGCCAAAGGAACAGTAGATTATCAAGGCTATATATTCCCTCGACGTCGCGGTGAAATTGTATAAGTACCATAACTTTGCTCCAATATAAATACATCAAAACAAATGTTTAACCGAGACACATCATGCGTTTGATTCTATGCAGCCTGATTCAGAAACTCAGCTGCTAACGATCCAATTCGAGTGGAACGGTGTTTTAAAATCAGTGTCAAGCACTCTAGTTGGAGTGAGTCCAGAGTTCGAGCTGGCTCTCTACACAATGTGTTTCTTCATGGGCAGAGAAGAAAACCACATTCAGTTGGGTCCATACAGTGTCAATGTCAAATGTTACCGACTTGGCAACAACCGTATCGGCTCAGCTTTCCCCATTGCAGAATCTTGATACCACACTTTGATGGCTCCTGATCAAAACATTACAAAATAACAAAATATCTTTGCATTGCTCAGTACTGTACTGAATTATTATTATTGTTGTTGTCAGAGATCCTTCTGTCTACATGTATACTAGAAATATCTTCCTTTGATATTATTTCCTTTGTTATTTATGTGGAAACGATGTCCTTGTCTTTTCTGAAAATGAAAATGATCCAACATAAGGAGAAATGGGGAGAGAAAATATCTTGTAATAATTTCTATTGCAAGAGATATTTATTTGGTTTTGGTTTTTTTTTTTTTTTTGTTGAAGAAAAACCTATTGGCTTATGTCTGTTAGATGTGCACCAATCACATTCCTTGAAGGACAAAAATATCTTACCAACAATGACAGACTAAAAGCTTAACTGTTAAGGTTCTGACAAGTTCAACTTTAAGCCTTAGACGATGATGATACTCTTTTGACATTTGGACTAATCACAAAACTAAATCAGTCTGTTGTATATAATCTCTCTTTAGAAACATTTATGTTTCACACGACATTACATACTACGAAGATTAGTTTGGTCTTTGCTTTAATTATGGGAACATTCCAACTGCATCGAATTCCTTAAGCCAATTTTAACAAGTCATCATCCCACGATTTCAAACCCCAATACTAAATTTTAACTGTAGTAAAAACTTTGATAAAAAAAGAAACTATAGTAAAAACTGGTGCCAGAGACAGAGAAGCCTAATTATTGGATGTCGACCAAATAAGATCAAAGTCACAACTATGTATAGTACATAAACAAAATGAAGAGAAAGAAAAGAAGTGGGGAGGGTAAGCAATTAGGTAACGTGGAAAGAAGATATCAACTCATAAGAAGAAAAAAAGGGAAAAGATTCAAAACAATTTGGACTTTTGCTGATGCGTGTGTGAACAATTCCCATACGCTTTGTACTTTTTCCACCATCGGTCCATAATAAAGCTCAAAACTTTCGATGGACATTTAAAAAATATTGAAAAAAGTATTAATTTGTTTACCCCCAAAAATCTAAGAAAATGACACTAAGATTTTTCCCTGAAAACCCAACTTAAAACCCATACTTTCAACAATATTACTCGTCACAATCAGGATTTTCCTACAATGAATACCGTAAGAGTTTTTGAGACAACCAGTCACAATAAAGCGTTTGTCTATTCAATTTCTTGACCGTAGATGTCACAACATGCCTATATCATGGTTAACCGAACAAAACCGGAAACGACGAATATATATCTCATATCTGTAGATATTTAGCAAGACAATGCTATTGTCTTTGAGTTAACATAAGGATAAATGATAGAGAATGTGGATGTTCAAGTAATTATACTTAGTTATTTTATAGAAGAAATTTGTTTCTAACTGCGAAAATACAAGATTAGGATTCGAAGAGCGTACCTGTTTGAGTCAATATCCAACGTGAACGTCGTCCCCGCCTTACTACACACTCCCTGGACCTCTTAATAGAAAGCACAAGCCAAAAAGAGACGTTGCCAAAGCGATAAGGATCAATTTCTACCATTCAAAAAATTAATGGTGGGAATTAGAAACAAGAGAAACTAGTTGGCCTTGATTGGGGAAATAGCCAAAACCGCAATCTACGTCACCTGAATAAAGACCAAACTGCCACTTTCAGTGAGTCAGAGAGAAAAAGAAAGAGAGAGAGATTCCAACAATATTTGGCAGTCGACATGGATTCTATTGCGTCATAAGTCATCATCATCTTTCATTAAATAAAAACACTTGATACTCACATGGCTTATAAGATCAAGGCACAAGTATTAAGCATATTTGCTAAATTGCATCAACACTTCCCAACAAGGGCCTTAAGCATCAAAGTTATGTTGTTTAGGTATATAACAAGTTATTGGAGATATAAACAGAATGTATAATAACATAAAATTAACCTACTTAGCTCTACATAAGCCAACTTGGCAGGATAACATAACCAGTAAAAACTCAGAGGGCATGATAAAAAAAAAAAATTATTCACAAGGAATGTGTCAATGTGCCACTAACAAGAGGACCATGAGAAGTAATCCCCAAGAAAATGTTAGCATTTGCTAGAAATCTATGGGTCAATGAACTGTTGCTTAGTTGGAAAATACTAATCTTACAAGGAGGAAAGTCCAAGAATAAGAAAAAAGTCGAGTGAATAGCAACCACAAGAAATTTCTACACTGAAAAAGAATCCTTGCATTTATCTATCTTTATTCAAACTAATATCAAGAGACCTTAAGAATTTTTAGCCACACGAACAATGTCTTCAAAGCCAAAGCTGAGTAGACAAGCTTATCTATATTATCAAGAAGAAGAAGAAAAAAAAAGCAAAGATTAGATTTAAGGATTACTCTGTTAAGGATTACTCTGTAATCAGAATCTGCAGGAGTGAGCAAATGACTAATTTACCAAGAAGAACAAAAAAAAAAAACTTAATTACCTATACCTGAATACACAGATGAAAATAATAAAAAAACTGTACTTACCAAAATATCTGTGTTTGTAATTACTGATGTGACATTTACACTTTTTCACTTTGATAAGTGTGAGAACCGTGTGATATATTACAAAAATCGAATTAAGCAACTTTAATGATATTTTTCTCCATTTTTTCTAATTTTGTCCCTGAATCACAACAGCCAATCAGTTTTCTTTATAAAATGCAAACACTCAAACAGCATCTTCTCTAAAACATAAACAGCATCTTCTGCTCTCAACACAAACACCTATTCTCTCTCTGTCCTCATTTCTCAACAGAGCAAAGAGACAGAGAGATATGGAGTTAACACTAAATTCCTCGAGCTCTCTCATCAAACGTAAAGATACCAAAAGTTCAAGGAACCAAGACAATTCCTCCAACATGTCCTTTGCGATGATGAAGCCACCAACATATCAATTCCAAGCAAAGAACTCAGTCAAGGAGATGAAGTTCACTCATGAGAAGACCTTTACTCCAGAAGGTGAAACCACTGAGAGATGGGAGAAGCTCCACGTTCTCTCATACCCACACCCGAAGAGCGACGCTAGTGTTCCTGTGTTTGTCATGTTACCGCTCGACACGGTCACAATGTCAGGGCACTTGAACAAACCAAGAGCCATGAACGCTAGTTTGATGGCTCTCAAAGGAGCTGGTGTGGAAGGTGTAATGGTGGATGCTTGGTGGGGATTGGTGGAGAAAGATGGACCTATGAAGTATAACTGGGAAGGCTATGCAGAGCTTATACAGATGGTTCAAAAGCACGGTCTCAAGCTCCAGGTCGTTATGTCTTTCCATCAATGTGGAGGAAACGTAGGAGACTCTTGCAGGTAATGAAAGCAAACTTTAGTTTCCCTTTTGAACAAGATCTCTCTGTCTCTCATTTCTAGCTTTGCTAATAGTTCTCTCTTTTGAAATCTAGTATTCCCTTGCCTCCATGGGTGCTTGAAGAAATCAGCAAGAACCCTGATCTTGTCTACACAGACAAATCTGGAAGAAGAAATCCTGAGTATATCTCCTTGGGATGTGATTCTGTGCCTGTGCTTAGAGGAAGAACACCTATCCAGGTCTACTCAGATTTTATGAGGAGCTTCCGTGAAAGATTCGACAGTTGCATAGGAGGAGTTATTGCGGTAAGCAGAAATCTTCACTCTATAGATTAACTTCATACAAGACATATACAAAACAGTGTTCCTAAGCTAATTTGTATCATCAATTTTCATGTATTGCAGGAAATACAAGTGGGAATGGGACCTTGTGGAGAATTGAGATACCCATCATACCCTGAGAGCAACGGGACATGGAGTTTCCCCGGAATCGGAGAGTTCCAGTGCTACGACAAGGTATGTTAAGCTATCAGACAAGAAAACCTTCAATTTATTAGAACATTAGTTATATGAACTTAGCTTAAAGACTCCATACACTTCTTGATTGTGCAGTATATGAGATCGTCGCTTCAAGCATATGCTGAATCAATCGGAAAAACAAACTGGGGAACAAGTGGACCTCACGACGCCGGAGAGTACAAGAACCTCCCAGAAGACACAGAGTTTTTCCGGAGAGACGGAACATGGAACAGCGAGTACGGAAAGTTCTTCATGGAATGGTATTCCGAGAAGCTACTAGAACATGGAGACAGACTCTTAGCTTCAGCCAAAGGAATCTTCCAAGGAACCGGAGCAAAGCTATCCGGTAAAGTAGCAGGGATTCACTGGCACTACAACACCAGGTCACACGCTGCTGAGCTAACCGCTGGATACTACAACACAAGAAACCACGACGGGTACTTACCAATAGCCAAGATGTTCAACAAACATGGCGTTGTGCTTAACTTCACCTGCATGGAGATGAAAGACGGTGAACAACCAGAGCACGCGAACTGCTCACCGGAAGGTCTGGTTAAGCAAGTGCAGAACGCGACGAGGCAGGCAGGAACAGAGCTAGCTGGTGAGAACGCGTTAGAGAGATACGACTCGAGCGCGTTTGGACAAGTGGTTGCAACGAATAGGTCAGATTCTGGAAACGGGTTAACCGCATTTACTTACCTGAGAATGAACAAGAGGTTATTTGAGGGTCAAAATTGGCAGCAGTTAGTGGAGTTTGTTAAGAACATGAAGGAAGGTGGTCATGGCAAGAAACTCTCGGAGGAAGACACGACAGGAAGTGATCTCTATGTTGGATTTGTCAGAGGCAAGAAGATCACTGAGAAAGTTGAGGAAGCTTCACTAGTGTAATTTTTCACAACATCTAGGTACATATAATAGTGTGCTGTTTGATATAAATAAATAAACATAGAGATTTGAGAGAGAGAACAAAACCTGTGTAGTGTTTAAAGCTTTAGAGTTTGCACAAATTCTGAGTCGAAGCACAAAAACAAGATGATGTGTACACTACTTAGTAAACAGTTAGAACTGTGTGTATTCATATTGAATTTTCATTGTACATCTTCAGAGTCTAATCTCAAATAATATGCAATTTTCTTTTCTATTACAAAGAATCTTATCAAAATCAATGTGGGTTTTCTCTTATCATCAATCAATATGCATTTCTCTCGTATAGACAAAATAATTATTCATACTTGAATTAACTCGTAGGATTTGATAACACATAGTTTATACAACAATTGCTCTCATTCACAGGAAATGAAATTGAAATCGAAACTAACAGATAACGAAGAAAGTTCCGTCTTCGAATCAAAACTCACGAATGAGGAGGAGAAGCAGAGTCGGAGCCTCCACGACGGAGTTCTTCGATCAAACCGCCGAGCTCTTTTCTCGCGGATTCTCGACCGAACATGAACCCATACCTTGAGAGCGAATAAAAAAGTGACAAGCATGAACCCTAAATAGAAGAAATGGGAAGAGGAGAAAAGAGAAATCGAGAAGACGAGCTGAGAGAGATGAAACAAAGATCACTCACCAACAAGAGACGGCGGAGAATACGCCGGAGATTGCCACCGTTTGGATCAACGAGAAGGATTTCTGCATCTCTCTCTTCTGTTCCCCGATATTTCCTCCGGTCAGAGCCTAAAAGGACTTGAGAGCGGGAGAGAATCGTCTGATGGGCCTGACACAATATTTGAGCCCAATTAAAAAATCATGATTTAATGAGAAAGGGTTCTCTCTTTCGTTTTTGTTTTTCGGATTTTTTTTCATCGTCGCCGTAGAAAAGAGATTGTTGGAGAATGCAGCATTCAATTTTACTGGTGAATTCAATTTTACTGGTGGATTCATATATTTTATATCGCTAGCTCTGGCTATATAAAGCTCGAGTTAAGGAAGGCTTTGATAACGTACCATTTTAGATAAATATGAAATGTTACATTTTAAAATACTCCCAAAAATTACTCATTTGAAAATGTATCAAGACAGCCTGATTAACTAAAAAACATACATATAATTAAAAAAGTTTGTAATGCTTCAATATGTAAATTAAGAGATAGTGTAATATTTAAGATCACATTTACATTTCATATGTTAAACAATAACATATCATTCTACTCATTTTTTTTTGTTGATAAACACATCATCCTACTAAAACCATAAACTAACCCAAAAAATAAAATACAGAATAACTAGAAATATAATCCATGCATCTTGTGGGCAACCATCCAGTATAATAAAATAAAAAAGTGGGAGAAAAGAAAAAAAGTAAAACTCTATCGCTTGCTCCATAGCCAGAACTCTTATTTATTTACTTATGAGATCTCGACATTGGTTCCAAGCGGTTCGCCTTCAAGAAAATCTCAGCGGAGATGCGGATTTTGACTGTGTTTCTCAACATGTCTCTCTTTCTCTCTCGTGTCTTCAAGCAATTTTGAATTCATGACTGCGACTATGTCAAAAGCTTTGCCACAGGAACTCACAATGGATCATCGCCTCCACTACTACAGTAAAACGTTTGGGTTTGAACAGCCTTTGTAGCAGCAACTCTAGCAGCATTTGCTGCTCGGTTTGCGACCATCACTGCTCTGTTCACTCTCTCTTCCACTTTCCCAACTGCACGTGCCTTCTCGGCTGCTTTTCTTGCTTGCTGTTGAATGAAGTGAGAGAGAGAGAGAGAGAGAGAGAGAGAGAGAGAGAGAGAGAGAGAGAGAGATAAGGATCAAATCTCATGTGGGTATTCAATTTTTTCTTATAAATTGGTCTCTAAACTCCTCCAGAGATTAACAAAACTGAAAGTACCAAACTTTGTATATATAAGATAAGGTTATAAGTTACCTGGACAGTGTCGAGAACCTTGGAATGACTGATGGTAAATGATGAATCCGGACGTGTGGTCTGCTCGGTAGGACAGCTGAGAACACCGTCTTCCCAATGGCCTGCCTGTGTCTCACCATTCCTAAATGTGTACATACCAAGCCCTTGTCTTCTTCCCTCATGCCAGGCTCCTTCATACCGATGCCCGTTTCCAAATTGATACACTCCAAAACCATGCATCCTGTCTGCAAAATACTCTCCAGCATATGTATCACCGTTTCTGCAACAGAGACACGGCTTCAAGTCAGGCAGGTATCACTAGCGAAGGGACGATGATGCACTTGTTTTAAGATCAATGCTCTTAGCAACAAAAAAAAAACTTACACCTTGATGCCCCCTAGACTTATAAAGTTATAGTTGTTTGAAAGGTAAGAATAATCACCGCAAGAGAGGAAGACACCACAGAAAAACTATCGATTTAAATGTATCTGGAACTGAAAGCCAGAATCTTTCAAAGGGCGGGTATCTAATGCAATAATCAACAGCAGTAATGGTTCAGCTTAAAGTTGCGATGTTCTTCTTAAAGGGTGAGGAAAGCCAACAGTAGACGTAAAAACAGCCTAACAATCCACCAAGAACTCAATATTAACAGCAATACACTTCTAGAACACCCGCACGAGCAACATAGACACAGACCAAAATACAGCATCGTAAGTCAAAGCACAACTAGGGCCTTTACGAGATAGTCGAGACTGAAAGAAAACCTTTCAGAAACCATATTTACTTCAGTTCCAAATCATTAAACAAGAATAACATGTAGCTAAAAAGTTCACCCTTATACCCAAAGCTCAACCATTTTTTCAGCAAAGTTAAATGACTCAGCAGTGTTCAAGCCAAGACCACTTCACTAAGGCGTGTTAATCAATGAGAAGTACACAAGACAATGCACAAAGTTAACAAATAGAAAAAAACTGATGATTTTCTCACCTGAAATGGTAGTGACCGAGACCATGTTTGACACCCCATTTAAACTCTCCAACAAATCGACTACCATCCTCAGAGGTATAAACACCACAACCATGGCTCTGTCCATTGGACCACTCACCAGCATACACATCCCCTGTATAAAATCTGTAGATTCCAGTTCCATGTCTCATCCCTTGCCTGTATTGACCTCGATACCTACTTCCTTTAGCCCATGTTTCTACTCCATAGCCATCATATTTCCCATCAATCCAATCGCCTTCGTATTTACCCTTCATGGAGTAGTAATAAACTCCACTTCCTGAACACTTTCCCCTATGAAACTCTCCCTCGTATACATCACCGGAGCTGTACTTTTGAACCCAAGAGCCGGAATTGGTCTTCTTCTCTGTGACGGGCTTCGAGCCGATTGACCAAACAACATGTTTCGTGCTCTCTTGAGAGGGAGACGATGATCTGGTAGGGGTAAGCTTGAGGGACAGCAAGCGAGCGATAATCAGGCGAATTGATGGTAGGTGAGGAAGAGCGAATTTGAGAGAGATCGAAAGGATGAAGGAAAACGCGATAATCGAGAAGACGAAGAGAAGGAAGACTCGGAAACTGATCAACAGGAAGAAGATGTAAAGAGGAGGAACGGAGAGAAGAAGAAGGAAACGAAGATGGAAACATATCAATCGGACTCGAAGGACATGGCGGAGGAGCTTCTGATTAGTCGCTGATGGGATCGATGGAAGAGACGAAGATACAAACGACAAAAGGTAAGACGGAAAATAAGATGAGATCGAGCTTCCCAAGCTTGCCCGGTGGCTTCCTCCTCCTCCTCCTCCTCCTCCTCCTCCTCCTCCTCGGCGGAAATCGTCAACGTTGGGTACAAAATTAAACGGATGAGAAGATTGAGCCACCACAGGCCTCTTTTTCGGAGTTGATGTAAGGCTTTGAGACGATGAATCTGGGATTTCAACGGTCAGATGCCTCTGAGCTTGCACTTGATTGAACACAGTGAATCCAGCGCCTGCGCCAATGGCGGTTGGGTATGTAGATTTGTCTGTGGTCAGAATTTCGGGTACTTGAAGAGGACGATGGTGCTTACTCTTAGGTTTCGGATCCAAATCGGAGGAAGGTAAATAACCGGCGGCTTCTTTTCCGATACACCGCCGTTCTGCTACAGTTGAATTCTTCAGATGCATTTACATACAGAATATGGAATTTGGAGGAAGGGGGTACGGTGAAATTGGGATTAGGGTTGTTAACAAATTAGGGTTTTCTGAGATCAAAAGACACTCGCTTTTTTTTTTTTGTTCCTTTAAACTGTGTTTTAGTTTTCAGAAATGATGAAGACGAGCTCAGTTTTGAAGCTAAGGTAAAGAGACTTTGTTGAATGAGGCCCCCACATTTCGTTCTATTTACCGATATGCCATTCGTCCCCGCTTGATCCTTAAATTTAGTTTAATGTGCCTACATCATTTATCACAGAGTATTATTCTCTAAGATACCAAATGACTCTCTTTTAGTATAATAATTAAATTACTTATCGATTCAATGTTCAAACAGTAATGCCGTACATAGCTATCCGGATTAAATACTATTTTTGGTAATAATTGTGTCAATAGCTTGTAAAAGTGGCAAGAAAAATAAAAAGAAATTTGTATGTATTTTATCTTGGATGATTCTAATACAAGGATTTTTACTTGTTCGGCCTACTTCTACGTGTCTGCTATAAGCGTGACAAACATGACGCTTTTCATTTTCTAAATTATTATAATATAAACACACCACATAAAATCTATTAAAAACAGGACGTAAAAAAACTCTGTTAATAAAAACATGCAGAATAATTGAAGATTATGTGATTCCGCATACTTTTTAATGGAGTTGTGTTTCCAGTCAATCATCATTTATCATTCTATTGTGTACTATTGTGATTAGAGAAAATTTAAACATGGACATGTATCATTCTACTATATTGTGATTAGAGTAAATTATATAAGTGAGATATAACAATATTAGTTCTTATTTGATTTCACCGTAGAGCAATTGAAAATTCAAGAAGTAGGGTCATACAGACAAAATAGTTCCAATATGCTTTAATGAATAATCTTATTATAACAATAAAAAGGATTATTAAACATAACAATTTAACAACTATTTTGGAAAACCTTACTCTAGACTCATACCTAGACTAGACTAAAAAGTCCAAATATGATTAAGATGGATATTCAACTCCATATATTTTGAATCATTCATTATACATGTAAACAATAGACCTTCATTATAATTTAACCTGAAAAGTATGAATTCAATATTAAAAAGGTATGAAATAGTCATCAATTAACATGTACAGTTGAAAGAAGAGAAAAAGTCATCAATTCAAATATAAAAATTTGTGTCTTGTATTATTTATATTCATAATAGATTAGTCGTTTGGTTTGATAATTCTATTTTTCTTCCAGTGCACGTAAAGGAAGATTAGCAGCAAGGGTAGTATTGTAATAACTTGGTGATAAGAGGAAAGATGAGTCACCTGATTGTTTGAGCTGCTAATCTATGGCCACGTGTCAGAAACAAAGCGGCTATCTCGATTGCCTCGAGATGATAGAAACGACACCGTTCGATACCGATCCAATCGAGTGGAGAGAGAAAGTTTTGTGGCAACTAGACTTTCTAATTTCTTTATTCAGATATCATCCAAAAGTGCAAGTCTCTATCATTTTCTTATGGGCTCTCAAACGCATCTTTCCAATGTAGATAATTGTTATCTATATTCAGACAAAGCCTTGTAAATATATAAAATGTAGCTATCTAATGATGAAAATGATATAAAGCAAAACAACGAGATAGGATAAATAAATGTAGTTAATATGAATATTTGGAACGACCACAGCAAATACATCATTAACATTTATGTATTATCTCCCTACAATTAATAAGTGAAAATGCTGTAAAAGCGGTTAATTTCTACATCAACTAACACATATAGTACTATTTTATATCTAAACTTTCTCACTGTGCTAAAACATACCTCAACTGTTAAAAATGATCATTTCGTATCCAAACTAAAAAAAAAAAATTCACCCTCTAAGAAGAGATATAGCAAGATAATATTCCGTAGATGTTAAAGTTATATACTTTCTCTGTTCATAATTATTTAATGTTTTATGAAGTTTTTTTTGTTCAAAATTATTTGATGTTCTCAATTTTCAACATAAATTTAATGAATTTTTATTATTTTAACCTTTTATATTCTGCAGATTATCTTCTTATTTGCTGAATTATATTTAAATAAATTATAAATAATATGTTTAGTGTAGAAAAAATAAAAATTAAATAAATTCTTAATATTATATGCAAAAATCTTTAATATCAAATAATTATGAACAGAGAATATTTTCTATTTTTCAAGTATATCAAGGATAGTTATTACTCTGTTTTCTTAATTTATTTTAAAAAATGTAAGGAGCAACCAATACAATTAAGAATAAAAAAGTTGTAAATGGATATAACCTTTTTTAATATTTATGTGAAAAACTTGGACATTCTATGGATAGAGTATGAAACAATTAAAAATACTATTAAAAGATTTGTTGCAGTTTTCGATATGGCCAACTGTTTTCGTTTTGTTATTAATAGCCAATTGGATTTGGTTAGATACTTATACAGTTATACACTTATATTCTTGGAGAACGATCGGTTTGTTATACTATGCGGCTTCGCCCTGGGCATTTAAGGTTTTTAAAAAACCTGTGGCTGGTCTTTTGCATCCATAAACCAGCCACAGGTAAGTATCTTCCTCTTCTCTTATTGTAATTCCCAAATCGAATTTAAGGTTTTTAAAAAAATAAAATCGGTTTGGGGTTTAGGGTTATCATGAAGAAATAAGTTCATTTCATCATCTTTTTTTACGTTTCCACTATGAAATTGTCAACATATACTTGAATCGTTTGAATCATGATGAAATCGATTTAGGGTTTTTTTTTTTAAAATAAAATCGATTTGGGGATTTGGGTTTTTGGTTGCAAAAATATGAAATTGTGTTCATCTAATCATCTATTTCGACGTCTATACTACGAATTTCTCATAACTCTTCTCGAAATCGGATTTAGGGTTTTTTTAAAAAATGAAATCGATTTGGGGATTAGGGTTTTTGGTTGCGAAAATATCAAATTGAGTTCATGTAATCATCTATTTGGACGTTTATACTATCAATTTGTCATCACTCTCTCGGAAATCGGATTTAGGGTTTTTTTTTAAAAAGTGAAATCGATTTGGGGATTTAAGGTTTTCGATGGAAAAATTTGAAATTGATTTGGGGATTACTCTTTGCTTTACCTTTATTTAACAAATAGAGATCATTTGCCTTTGTTTTTTGTGTTTGTGTTAAAATTTCTTCTTAAATGGAATAGTCATTAGTTTTCCTACATTGTTATTTCGTGAATGTTCTGGTTAGCTTAGGTGAATGGTATCGTGAATCTTTGGCATTGTTAATCGTGAATGTTCAAGTAGAAACTGGTTAGCTTAGGTGAATGTCGGATATGTGAAGATCCGTATGAGTTATGATTTGCTTGGTTTGGTAGTGAAATAATTCATTTAGTAAGAATAAGGATACCTCCTTATTCTTCGAATCACATAAAACACTGCAGATGGATTCAAATCCAGAAGATCCGAACATGAATGAAGATCCTGATATTGATATGGATGATGAGTTAGAGGTTACAGAGGATGAAGCTGAGACTCCTACGCCTACTTCTGCAAGTAAAGGGAAAGGGAAAAAGAAGGTTACTGCTAAGGGAAAGAAAAGAACAAGATCATTTGTTTGGGACCACTACACAAGAACGAAGGCGAACTATGACAAGTGTATTTGTCATTACTGTGGGAAGTCAATGGCATGTGCATCAACATCCGGCACCTCCAATCTGAGGAAGCATCTTCTCTTCTGTAAGCAGCATCATGCGTGGGCTGCAGCAAAGAAGAAGAATCAAGAGCAAATAGATCCTGATGGTATGAAGCTGTGTAGAGTATCTGATGCTGTGGTGAGAGAGGCTACGAATGAGATGATAGTGATAGGTGAGTAGCCTCTTTCGTTCGTGGAATGCTTGGCTTGGAGGCATTTTTGCAACAGAGTGAAATTGTGCAAGCTTGTATCTCGGAGAACATCTACCAGGGACATATACGAGATGTTTGTGAGGAAGAAGATGCTGATGAAGAAAGTGCTTGGCGATAATAAGCAGAGGTTGTCCCTGACAACTGATATATGGACAGCTCCTACCACCAACTCTAGCTACATGGTAATCACTGCCCACTTCATTGACCGAGATTGGCAGTTGAAGCATCTGATCATCGGATTCAAGCATGTTTGTGATCACAAAGGAAAAACAATTTGTGCTGCTCTTATAGATTGTTTAGCTGATTGGGAGATCAAGAAAGTCTTTTGCATCACAGTTGACAATGCAACAGCCAACTCCTCTGCCATTCGAAGATTTAAGCAACAATTTACTCAAGTTGGAGCAGATTCTCTGGTTCTCGGTGGTGAGTACTTACACGTACGGTGTAGTACTCACATTATCAATCTCATAGTGAGAGATGGACTGCACGATCTGGACAAGCATGTCTGTGCCATTCGGAATGGTGTGGGCTTTGTGAGGTCTTCAACACCAAGGCAAATGTCTTTTGAGCTGCGGGTTGACACTGCAAAGATGACAAGGGGGAGTCTGTCTCTCGATTGCAAGACCAGGTGGAACTCGACATATCTAATGTTGAGTAGGGCTATGGACTTCAGGCTTGCATTTGAGAAGATGGTTGCTGAGGACAAGCTGTATAATGACTACTTTAAAGAGAAAGTGGATGGGACGAAGAGGATTGGACCTCCTGTTCAAGAAGATTGGGACGAGGTAGACAGGTTTCTAAACTTCCTCATCATCTTCTATAATGCTACGTTAGTGCTTTCTGCTACTAATTCACCTCGTGCACATAAGTGTTATAATGAGATGGTGACCATAGAAAGAAACCTAGTCTTATTGACCCTTGATCCTGATACTGAGTTGAAGAAGAAAGCCGATGATATGATGGCTAAGTTAGGGAAGTATTGGAATCCATTTGGGTTTGAAACAGAAATGAATAGGATGTTGATAGTGGCTAGTGTGTTCGACCCAAGGAACAAAATGAAGTTTGCTAAGCTTTGTTTTGAGAAGCTATATGGACCAGATAGTATGGTTGCTAATGAAATGTATGATTCGGTCATGGAAATTCTGAAGATGTTGTTTGAAGAGTATAATGGTAGGATTGGTAGTTCCTTGAACAGAACCTCAAATGCATCAACTTCTGCTACTTCTGATCCGACACAAGCAAGTGGATCATCATCTCAGCCTCGGTCTCAAGAGTTAGGTAGAAGGAGAAACCACAGAATGGACTTAGCTGGTCGAACACGTTATGAGAGAATGGATCAGGTTTACATGGAGCTGGTGCAAGAAACCGGATTTCAAGAAGTTACTACTGAGCTTGAGTTGTATCTGTCCGAGAATGTGGAGAATCCACACATTTTCGAAGGAACAGAGTATGATGTTCTATCATGGTGGAAAGTTAATACCCTAAAATTTCCAGTTCTATCACAAGTGGCTAAAGATGTCCTAGCAATGCAAATTTCATCAGTTGCATCTGAGTCTGCTTTCAGCACTAGTGGTCGCATATTGGATCCTTCGAGAAGTTGCTTGACACACTACACTTTAGAAGTGTTGATGTGTACAGAGCAATGGCTGAAGAGGGAGATTCGTATGGATAGCAAAGGGACTATAACCATTGAACAGCTCCTTGATGATGTTGAAGACCAGGATGATCTTCAGAAAGATAAACTGTCTACTCGATTTTTTTGTTTTATTGTTGACTTGTTTAAGTACTTATTGTCATTGGAATGTTCATACAGAGTTTGGAGAATTAAATATTGAAGACTAAGGAGTCAATGATGAACAAGGACATAAATCTGGTAAGAAGTCCACGTTTAGATCAGATAGTATGATGTTTTTCTTTTTCTTTTTTTACAGGGTTTAGGAGTCGCATGTCATCTTTCAGGAGTTGCATCTCTCGCTTCTACTCTTCTATGTCTGTTGCATCTCTCGCTTCTACTCTTCTATGTCTGTTTCCATTTTTCATTGAGTCTGAATTTAGACAATGTTATTGATTCAGCACTTGTTTTTAGTTTGGTTATTGATTCGGCACTTGTTGTTGTATGAACTTGGTTTAGGATGATGCAGAACTTGTTTTTATTTATGTATGAACTTCTCTTTTAAGTTTGGAACTTGTTATGAAAATGTGAACTTTGATGATTCGGTTTTTTTTTTGTGATTTCGGATACAAATTTGCTGATTTCGGGTATTTTACCCTGTTTAGGAACCGAAAATTTATAGAACCGAAATTTTCGGGTAATTTTCGGTTCTAAACTTTGATATCCGAACCGATTCGGAACCGACAGGTACCGAACCGGAACCGAACCGAAATTATTTCGGTACCTATTTGGTTCCAAACCTTGAGAACCGAAAGACCCGAAACATTTCGGATCCGATCCGGAACCGAACCGGCTACCCGAAAGCCCAGGGCGAATGCGGCTAGTCTGTTGTATTAAATCAACATTTTTGTTGTGCTATTTTGTTTATCACAATATTTTACATCATATCATTTATTTTGAACAGTTTCATACCATTTGTTGCATACACAAGAACAAAAAGAAAATTATTTATTGATTTATTACAAATTTCTTTATCATTTAGAATTCATAACATGATAAAAATCTTATGAATTTGGAGCAGCTACTAAAAGAAGTTTGATGCCGCTAGATTTAGAGCAACTACTAAAATTATGCCTGAATTTTTTTGGGAATTAGGACGGGAATTGACGGGTAGAGGATGGGCATGAGAATTTCGAGAATCTGAATATACTACCCAAAGTATTCCCACAAAATAACGGGAGGGAAATTTACGGGTATGGGACGGGAACGGGAAATTCGGGAATCAAAACATACTTCCCATACAATCCCAAAATAAAATATAATCGAGAAAAGAACGGAAAAGAGACGGGAAAAATTTCGGATAATTCAGATAATTAGATTAAAATCAATTTTTGTTTTTTGAAAAAACTTATTATTTGTTAATAAATTGGAAAAATCATTATTTATTATAAAAAAAAATCAAATAACCAAAATCTCTAAAATTTTACTTTATATAATTATTCAACGGGAAGTTCGGGTAATTCCATTCCCGTCCCTACCCTTTCCTTTATCTATTCAAATATTATTTTCAATCCCGAATGGAAAATTATAATTTCCCTTTCCGAAAAATTCGGGAATTTCGGGACGGGTACAGGACGGAACGGGTTACCCATCCCGAAAAATTCAGGCCTAACTAAAATGGTTGGTATTCTTTAGTTGCTCATGCTACGTAGGCAAGATGAACAGTCGGCTAAGAAACAGACCGCAAAAAAGTATCACTCGTGGATTGTTAACAATTAGATTGATGAGATCAACGGTTTGACTGCTGAGATGATTAAACGCTAGACATACGTCTGTGAGATCATTCGCCGATTTAATCTTGTAAAGTTTGACTGCAAAATATTTGCGTGAAACAACAACATTTTTATTCAAAAATTGAAACTGGTTTGTAAGGTAGCCACAAATATAAATCATCAAGTTGGATATAATATAATATCTATTTGATAATAATTAAATCTAAAATTTTTTATACATATTATAATTTAATTTTTTTATATCAAAACAAAATATCTTAATCTGATGTTGGAGCAATTAGATAAAAAATACTATTAAAATTGATTATAAAACCAAGAATTATCTAGCATTTATGTAATTATAGTACAAAATAAATAAAATTTTAATTCTTATTTATAATTACATAATCAGCATAATATTTGTAATTATAAATATCAGTTAATATTTTTGTAGTGTATTTATATATATATTATATTTTTATATTCTAATAAAAAATTATGGTTAATATTTACTCCGAGTAATTACCTAGTTTTATTTTTTTCTATTGTGCTATTTTATTTATCACAACATTTACATCATGTAATTTATTTTGAACAGTTTCATACTCTCTCCATTTCATAATAAGTGTCGTTTTAGATTTCATTTTTTGTTTCAAAAAGTGTGTTATTCTGTATTTTCAATATAACTTTTTACCCTTATTTCCTGTTTTACTCTTCATTTAAAGATAGTTTTTGTAATTAAATGTTATAAAAATATATTAATTAAGATATATTTGTATATTTTATTAATTTCTTAATTTGTGTGAAATGTGTCTGAATGACAGTTATTATGAAACAGAAGGAGTACTCTTTGTTGCATACACATTGAACAAAAAAATATTACCTATTTAATGATTTATTACGATATTTTTTTTATCAGGTAAAATTCACACTCGCACAATATTTCGAAAGCGCCACAAACACAAATCATCAATTGGATATCATTCAAAGGTGTTTTGGTTTGATTGCTTGAAACGACAGCGTTTTTTAAATGCCTCAATGTCGACGACGTTGAAGGGTAAGAAAATTTCCGAAAGAGCACAACAGAACAAAACAGACATATCACAATCTGCCATGAAAGTTCAAAGGTTCCAGAGAAGAAGCCGCTGCGCGAGTTGACTCACCAAACACTCTTTCCTTCTCTCTTTCTCTCTCCTCTTTATTATTTGAAAGATTCCTTTCGTGTTTTCAATTTTCCACATGAAACCTCACTTCTCTCTTCATTTCGCTTTCGCATCTTCGTCACACGCGTCGTCAACGAATCTTCGGAGTCTCCGGCGATGCCCCGTCGATTAAACGACGGCGACCCTGGCCGTTCTACCGCCACCGCCCTCCTTGTAATCGGTCTGATCTCTTGTCTTATCGTCTACGCTGTCTTCTCTACTGTCCTTCGTCCCCAAGATCGTAGAATCGATTCCGACGTATTCACGGACTCGGAAGATCACGACCGTGTAGCGGCGGATGGAGATTTCGGCAGGTGTTGCCGTGGAGTCGATAATCTGGAGCTTTGGGGTCCGGCGGTGAAGTGGGGGACGGATTTCAAGTTTAATTCGTCGGAGGAATGTTGCAAGGCGTGTAAAGTTATGTGCAGTGGCAGCGACGGACCTTGTCTGTGCGATTCATGGGTGTTCTGCGGCAACAAAGAGGCTTGTGGGTCGAAGTTTGGAGAGGTGAGCCTGATCCTTGTGATCGAATCGAGTTCTGTGCTCGTTTTAGATTACCGTCCTTGGATCGTGCCGCTTAAGTATTCGACGAAATGTCTATTTGAGCATGTCGTTGTATCGAAAGTTGGTGGCTTGACTCTGTGTGCCATCGGTTCATGTTTCAGAGATTGAGCTAAATTTTCATGTTTCCGCTCTGCGCAGTGTTGGTTGAAGAAGCAAAAAGATGTCTTGGTGCCTGATCGACAGGAAGGTGGACAGAAAGTATTGTGGACATCTGGGCTTATTTTCGGACAAGGGGAGGTAGTCTTTATATATCATGTCTGGAAAATTACTTCCGTTGATCGCCTATTTCAAAGTTAATGCATTTTTCAATCGCTGGAAACAATATATGTTTCATCAGATTTCACGAAATTATACTTTTTATCTGCATTGTCAGTTTCACGAAATTGCTCTATCTGTTTTGATTCTTGTGGTATTGATATGTCTATCTGATTAGATGATAATAACTGGCCCCGTTTAGTCAGATTTCAGAAGATTATACTTTCACTGTGTTCTTATGTTTTCCTTCTTCTCATGAAAACAAGTTGTGTCCTCGATGGTTGTCATAATTACTAATTAGCTACTTTGCCTCTGTTAGGGCATTGTTGGTTTTGAGACGGAACACGGCGTACTTCATGTCAAAGTAAGTATCTTAATTTTGATGTCGTTTTTATACATCGAGGGAGTTTTTGTTTAAAGTTCTAGACTTGACGCCGATGCTTACCTTTGTTGCAGCTTCACCCTGAGTGCGCTCCTCACTCAGTATACTACATTCTTAGTTTGTTAACTCTGCGCCACTGCGCAGGCTGCCAGTTTCATCGTGCAGAGAGCCGGGGATCATATTGGGACTCAGAAGGCGATCATGTAAACAACGTAAGAGACCTTATACAGATGTTTCCTTTTTAATCTTGGATCGCGCTTAATCACTTGCCAGTATAGATCATTGCAGCTATATCATAGTACGAATATTGATCATGTGTTAGGACTCTGTCATTTTGATATACTCTTAGCCTTTCGATTCATCTTTGGTCTAGTGTGTGATAGACTATCCGTCTTTGATATATTGTATGATAGACCTTTAAGCCATTTGATTTATCTGATTGTACACATTTTCGTAATATCCATCTTTGATTGAATATCACGTGTGTGATCAATGGCGACTGACTGCTTTTAGCTAAATCCACATTGTAGTACGATGCTGGCTCTTGTTTCGGACTGTAGTGGCTATGCTTGTCGCTGTTTCTACCCATTTAGTTAGTTGTTTATATCTCTTTTATTGTGAGACACGACACACCTGATTGTACTTTAGCATAGTAGAAAGTGAAGTTTATGTGTTATGCATATGATTACTGTCAAATTGATAGACTCCTTAGTCTTTTGATTCATCTGATTGTCTTAGAGACTGTGCATCTTCTAGACGGAAGATCAAATGAGTTCCTGATGTGTGATGAATGGTGCTTGACCGCTTTAGCAATGTTGTGTTCAATTACCCTTTTAGCTTGTTCATACATATCGCTTGTTAGTAAAACTCTCATCATTTCTCCTTGTTGCTGCAGGCTCCCTATGGTCCACCATACGCTATGATTCAAGGAATACTCAAGCCTGAGGGAAACATGTTTTCTCCGATCCCAACCGAGCACTGCCCAACCATAAGCCATGGCTCAGTGGCGTGGGTCGGCTCGGGACCAGAATTCTTCATCAGTCTAGCAAACCACCACGAATGGAAACAATCTTACACTGTATTCGGCTCTGTCTTGCCAGAAGATATGGAGGTTGCAGAGAGGATTGCCGGTTTACCTACGAGTTCCGATGTGTGGAACAACGTTAATGTCTCTGTTCTGGAGAAACCGGTGGCTTTAACCGTACGGAGAATGAAGACTGGCCAAGAACAAGAAGAAACCGGTTCGTGAAGACCAACTGAGAAATGAGCTCAGAATAGTTCTTGGTTTTTTTTTTTGAAATTTTATAATTTCTCTTACTGTGTATAAAATAGACAGACTACGAAAAGAAATAAAAGAACCTCAGAAATTTCTTGCGATTTTCCGGCCGTTTATATGAGCATTGTTCGTTACTAAATTCCTAAAATTGAAAACTTAAACCGGAGCCAAACGAGTACAAATTGAATACATTAAGAAAATACCAAATAATTTGAACCGAAACCATTGGGTTAATACATAAACCGGTAAATAGGGTCTGTTAAACGTATACGGCGGCGGTGGAGAAGGTGCGTCGGGTGCGCACACGTCACCACTCCGCGGCGCACTATAGCACAATTCTCAAACCGGCCACCTTCCTCTCCTAACTTTTCTAACCTGCGCCTCTCCTCTTCCTCTCCTCCGCCTCTTTTATTATCCTTTACCCACCGCTCTTTCCACAATCCCTAATTTCTTCTTCGCCGCCGCCATGTCAACCCCCGATGATGGATCTCCCGTCGCCATGGCCATCGATCCTTCCACCGCCGTTACCGTCGCCACCACCACGACTAGGAGAGTTCCGCCTCCGTGCTGGACCGACGACGAGACCGCTGCGCTTGTCAATGCCTACAAAGACAAGTGGTTCGCCCTCCGCCGTGGAAACCTCCGTGCGGCCGATTGGGACGACGTCGCCGCCGCTGTTTCGTTGTTGCCTACCCTTGGAGGTCCGCCGAAGTCAGCCATCCAATGCCGACACAAGATCGAGAAGCTCCGGAAACGGTACCGCGGCGAGAAACAACGGTCTCTTAGCCGACCAGGCAAGTTCTCTTCCTCTTGGGATCTTTTCCCTGTATTGGATGCTATGGGGTTCGCGCCGGTGACTCCGGCGGCCGTCGAACCTTACGATCGGGATGTGGATCACGACGATGAGAGTAACGGTTTGGATGGATTTAGGGTTAGATCGAAGAGGTCTGGGAAATTTAGCGGTTATTCTGATTCACCTCGAGAGGTAGGAGACGGGTATGGGGTTAGATCTAGGGCTAGGAGTCACATGAAAATGTACGGTGGTTTCAAGCCTGAGTTCGATTCAGATCACGATTCAGGAAGTGGGTTTGGATTGAAAAGGAAATTCAACGGGAATTCAAAGGTTACTGCTGCTGATTTCGATGGCCATTCGGATAATGAGATTGTGTTAGTACCCAAGGCTAGGCTTAAGCCTCACGGGAAGCCTTCCTCAGGCGAATTCAGCCACGGCGGTGGTGGGTTTCCGTTGAAGTCGTTTGGTGATCGGAATTTCGCTTCTCATGGGTTTAATAAACACAAGAGTTTCGGTAAACCTGAAGCCAATTTCTCTCCGGAGCTGGATTATGACGATGAGTTTGATGATGAGAGGGATGGATTCAACACGAGAATGCAAAACTCTAGGAGCTCTTCGCGAGTCAACGGTTATAGCAGAAAGGATGGGAGCTATCCTAGAAACACTAGCAATGGGTATGGATCGTCTTCTAGGTTCAAGCATGGGCAGATGAATGCAGCAGATGTCGAGTCTGACCCGATTGATGAAGTTGTTTCTTCGGTGAAGATGTTGACAGAGATGTTTGTGAGGGTGGAGAATTCGAAGATGGAGATGATGAGGGAGATGGAGAAGACGAGGATGGAGATGGAGCTGAAGCATTGCCAGATGATGCTTGAGTCGCAGCAGCAGATCATAGGCGCGTTTGCTGATGCATTGAGCGAGAAAAAGAGCACAAACGCAAGGAAGCCGGTTTCGTAGTAACGCGAACGAACGGTTCATTAGTATGGATTCATATTATGGTATAATGGTCAAATAGCTTTTGAATGTAGTATGAAGTGTCCTCTTCCAGTTACTAGGAACAGCGACGGCAGTGAAATTTTTATGGTAATGACACTTTGAGGTTTTAATTATTGGCATTTTTGATAATTTGGTAAGAAAAAATTTGTGTTTGATTGTAGGATAACACAAACTCGTGTTTGCACTGATTATTTTCTTTGTTAAAACAGGGAAGTAATCTTTTTTTGTTTCCTTTGACTTGGGAAGTTTGATACTTGCCCTCGGGTAGGACTCGCGGGTTGGTCCAAGCTGTATAGAGACTTAGTTTGATGGATTTATTATCACTGTTGGTTTTACGATCACAGTACATGGGTAATACCGTAATAGTAAACGTGTAAGAGTTGAAGACTCAATCCAGAGTAAAACATAGGTAAAGAAAGGGAGAGAGATTCATCTTATAATAGGTGAAAAAAGTTACAAAATCCAAAGATACAGAGGGAATCTGTAAGAAGAGCTGGTCGGAGACAATAAAGAGTCTAGCACTCTTGAACGCTTCAGGCTTCATTACGATAGCTCCTGAGATGAGCTGAAGTACCTCGCCGAAAAGTCCACATTGTGCCGGCGACTTTTATTGACAAAGAATGCCACGATAGGAGGGAATATTATTAATGCCGTGATCACAGGGTATGCCAATAGCAATAGGGACACTGCGATTCCCCCGAGTGGGCTAGTTGAATCTGGTAATGTATAGATGAATGATGTATAATTGGCACTCCCGAGAGCCATCGTTGAACCGTAGAGTACCATCCACATGGGGAGTCCAATTATGAGTTTCATGGTCACATACAGAGATGAAAAGAAGGCAATTCCGTTGAGGAAAAAAAAGAATAAGGCATTGTTGAAAGACATAGTCATCTGCCCAGCGTCGTGACGGAAGTGTACATCATCGTCGTAGACAGTTTCTTGCCAAAATCCACCAGGAGGACTAAGACCAGCTTGGTATGTAGCTGTTACAACCAGTATAGCCACCACAAGTACCGCACTGCGGCTGTCATTACTACTCGAAGATCTGTGTCTGGTCTGGATCAGAGGGTTCAGCCCTAAGAGCTTGTTCTGCTTCTCAATAGGCGATGGCTTTTCGCTCAAGAACACCGCTAGAGACATCGTGCGACCAAAGTGCAATATTTCCTTAGCCCTGCGGAGAAGTCTACTTGCTTCGGGAAAACGAGGAGATTGGTGAGCTTGAAGTATGTCCATGGCGGTCTTACCATCCAAGTTTTTGGCGTTTACTTTCACGGTTCCACGCAGCAACTTCATTACCTGCAAAATCGAGCACACATAAACATCTATGTATTACGGATAATTCCACTCATTGCCACATAAACATCTACGTATGTTCACAAGAACATAATTAAAGAAAATAATGTCCCAAGTACCAGAGTAATAATAGTTGGCAATTCCAACACAGAGTAATAATTGCTAATCCCAACACAGCAATTATGATTCTAGAGCAAGATGAGATCATATCCACTTTCATGGGCCAATACCTATGTTTGAACAACAATTTCGATGGCAAACAACAAGAGTTTTAGGGAAAAAGATGAAATAAATGATCCGAGAGACATATACCTCTGTTTGATTAGTCAACGCAGCAATGTGGAAGACTGTGTTACCATCTTCATCCTTCCAGTCCAGGATTTCCTCCCTGTTTACTCTCTTAACCCATCCCAATAGAACCTTAAATACCTCAAGCCTGTCGTTCTTCACAGCGATGTGCACTGCTGTCTCACAGTTAGTCGTCAAGTCTTCTATGGAACAAGGACAAGCAAACAAGAACTCACTCAACAACTCTGCATCACCTATTTTAGCCACATGATGCAAAGGAGTAATCCTTCCTCTTCCCTTGATGCTGATTAAGCTGCTGTCGATTGCCATTAACCCTCTCACAGTTCGAATATGGTTATTTTGCAGGGCTAAATGCATTGGGCTGAGACCTGACGTGTTTAGCTTCAAAGCAAGCGAAGGCTTAAGGGTCATTAACTCCATGGCAAAATGACTTTGGCCATTTCTGGCTGCAATGTGTAGTGGCGTCTCACGAAAAGGCACTTTATCATAGTGTCCTCGTAGAACATTTGGATCTTCAGCAATCAACTGGTACAGTGTCTCAATATCCCCAACTTCAGCCGCGTTGTCTAATCTCTCATATACATCACGATTTTGAGCTGCCATAATCTAAAACTTATTCAGGCTTTTGACTCCCTGCAACACAGACTCGAGTTTATAACACAAAGTCTCTCTGATGATAAACTACACATATATGCAAGACCAATGACTTACCAGGTCAACAACTGACACGTCTTTATCCGAGTGACAATCTCTTTCGGAGAAATAACATGGCAACTAGATGGATTAGTCTCATTTCAAAATGTGAACCTTCTCTCCGTTTTAGTATATTGTAGAAATGGAATCTTGTTCCTGTCATGTTTGCATGTTACTTTTATTTACTGTTCCACAGAAGATCCCATTAAAAATGAGATACTGCGTACTAATTGACTTAAACAAACACATTGACAATTTGACACTAGTGATATTATATGTAAAGAGGAAATTCGCAGGAAAATTGTAGACAGAGACATTTGAGCGTGCAAATTCAAGCGCAATGACTGTGAGTGGGCTATTGACTATGGACCTGTTTGTTTGTTCATTGGATGATTCATGAAGCAGTCAAATAATGTCTGTTTAATTACATAAAATGGATAAGACTTATTACAGATGGATCATCTAGACGGATCATCTGGATGATTTATAAATTTATGAAAAAATTTGAAACTCATTCAACTGATTTAATTTGAAGCATTTGGATGAACATGACTCAGTCCAAAAAGTCTCGTTTTCCTGATTAAAAAATATAAAATCTCGTTTTCCCATAAAAAACGTAAAATCTCGTTTTTCCGTCAAAAACATAAAAACTTATTTTCTCGTCAAAAATATAAAATTTCATTTTCTCGTAAAATCTAATTTTTCTATCAAAAACTTAAAATTTCGTTTTTCCATAAAATCTCATTTTCCTATTAAAAACGTAAACTCTCGTTTTCTATTAAAAACGTAAACTCTCGTTTTCTCGTTACAAACGTAAATTTCATTTTTCCGTTAAAAATATAAAATTTCTTTTTTCCGTCAAAAACCTAAAATTTCTTTTTTCCATCAAAAACCTAAAATTTTGTTTTTCCGTGAAAAACATAAAATCTCGTTTTCCTCTCAAAAACATAAAATCTTGTTTTACCGTAAAAAAATGTAAAATCTTGTTTTATGTCAAAAACGTAAAATCTTGTTTTCCCGTAAAAAAAACGTAAAATCTCATTTTCCCGTTAAAAACGTAAAATTTTGTTTTCCCGTCAAAAACATAAAATGTTGTTTTTCTATTAAAAAACGTAAAATTTTGTTTTCCGTTAAAAACGTAAAATCTTGTTTTCCCATAAAAAACGTAAAATCTCGTTTTCCGTCAAAAAAACAAAAAAATCTCGTTTTCCCATTAAAAACGTAAAATATCGTTTCAAAAATATAAAATCTCGTTTTCCGTTAATAACGTAAAATTTCGTTTTCCTGTCAAAAACGTAAAACCTTGTTTTTCCATAAAAAAAACATAAAATTTTGTTTTCCCGTTAAAAACGTAAAATCTCATTTTCCTGTTAAAAACATAAAATCTCGTTTTCCATTAAAAACATATAATTTTGATTTCCCTTCAAAAACGAAAAATCTTGTTTTTCCGTCAAAACGTAAAATCATGTTTTCTTGTAAAAACGTAAAATTTTGTTTTTTCCATAAAAAGCGTAAAATTTCTGTTTTTCCATCAAAAAGCATAAAATTTTGTTTTTCCGTCAAAAAGCAAAAAAATTTGTTTTCCCGTAGAAAACATAAAATATTGTTTTCTCGTTAAAAACGTAAAATCTTGTTTTCCAGTTAAAAACATAAAATCTCGTTTTCCATTAAAAACATATAATTTTGATTTCCCTTCAAAAACGAAAATCTTGTTTTCCCGTCATAACGTAAAATCATGTTTTCTTATCAAAAACGTAAAATTTTGTTTTTTTCCATCGAAAAGCGTAAAATTTCTGTTTTTTCATCAAAAAGCGTAAAATTTTGTTTTTCCGTAAAAAAGCGTAAAATTTTGTTTTTCCGTAGAAAACATAAAATATCGTTTTCGTCAAAACGTAAAATCTCATTTTCTCGCCAAAAACGTAAAATTCCTTTGCCATAAACAAATATTATGCTTTCTATACAAAACAAAATTTATTTTATCAAAAATGTAAAAATATAAATTTAATATTTTTAAGATTCGATTAAATTTATAAACTTATAATTTGGATTAAATAAATATTTTAATAATTTTGTTATTAAAACATAAAGATAAAAATATATATTCAGATTAAAATGACCAAAGAAATAAAGATTCATTATTCATTTGTCAATTTCTCATATAAATGTTTGTTTGCTCATTTGTTATGTGCATTGTTCAGATGACTTATCCAGATGAATCATAATTTAAATGGATCATCTAGATACAAATGACAAATAAGCAAACAAATAGGGTCTATATGCATGAAGCGAGGTCGATAAAGAAACAAAGGCCAAAGTCAGCAAATGGATCATTTAAATGCAAATGACAAATAAGCAAACGAACAGGGTCTATATGCATGAGGCGAGGTCGATAAAGAAACAAAGGCCAAAGTCAGCTGGCCACAAGGCCTGGTGCAACTCATTGAACGGTTTGTTGTGGAATCACTTTTTCTTCGTCTCCCGCCAAATTGATGAAATCAAATCGAGTTTACAAGGGAATAAATAATACACAGATCCAGCAAAATACAAAAAATTACAATATTAAATAAACCTTAAGAAACCGTATAGCGAAAGAAACGAAGTAACACAATTGATGAAGTTTTTTCTTCGGTCAAGATGTTTATCAAATAGCTTTTGATAGTGTAGTACGAAGTGTTGAGCACCAAAGTCATTGGATAATACGTGATTGTTAAGGAAATAGCCGATAACCCAAGTTCAGAATAGTACACAATTTAACAAAGGGAAAGAGACTTAAAAATCAATTCATAAGGTTAAAACAAACTAGACACCAAAAGTCAGAGGGAAAATGGGGAGCAACGAGTAAGGTCACATACAAACAATTTTAAAAGCTTCAAATTTCATCATGCAAGCTAATGAGATGAGGAGAAGTACATCGCCGGGAAGTCCACTTGCCGCCAGCGACATTTATTGAGAATGAACACTATGAAAGGAGCCCAAAGATTCCTGTGATCAATGGGTAACCCAGATGAAGAGGAACAGTATGCAAACTGAAAATCACTATGTGAATTCGAGAAGGTACTGCACAATTAGCGATCCCTAGTGCTGCTATCGAGCCAAAGAGGATCATCCACATGGGGAGTCCAACTATGAGGATTGTTGGACTCCAACACATCCACTTTCACTGCCTCATCTTTCTCAGCAAATAATGTGCATACTCAAACTCACCCCATTAGAACATGCGACCATAGCGTACCAGATCAGGGTTTCTGTCTTGACCAGGTGCATGTTTTCAAGAATTCTTAGCGCTTCATCAAACTATCCACCAATGCGTAAACAATGGATAACTGCATTTTGGTGTTGTAGCAGACATAGAATAGTTCCCTAAAATTATACAAGAATGAATCATGATAATTAGATGAACATTAAATCATCCAATTTAAATAGAATATCTGGTTTTGGGCATATAGGAAGTGAATATAGACTTGTGGAATGTGATAATTACTATAAAAAATTTCTCATCAATTATGCAAAAATAGTACAAAGTGAACCATCTTTTTAAGGTGGAAGTCAGACTAATAATCCAAGTGGAAATATATGCAAAAATAGTACAAAGTGAACCCTCTTAGTCTGTTGTGTATGCAAGAGCAAAAACATATCTAGAAGAGTAACATTGTTATGGCACATTCATACATTAAAGCCAACGATAATGTTTATATTTGTTGTAATGAAAACTATGATAGGAATCATTTGGTAGGGCGCTTGAAGCTATTTTCTACATTTTAAAAGACTCGTGGACATAAATGGATATCGATGTCAAATTCTCAAGCCATCGTAGCCAGTTTAAACAACATTTTCTTGTTTAACGGATTTTTTTGGTCTAAGTTGTGAGTAATAACACTAGTCCCAGTCAAATGATAAAAGATTTACATCATTCACAATTGAATGAAAACTCATTTCTATAACAGGTCATTCATTTCATTAATTGGTCTCTCTTTTTCTTTCTTATAACACGACACATTCAATTTATCTTACATGGAGTTTATGGAGAATTTCTCCATGAGAGACCATAGAGAGAAGCGAGCTCTAGCGAGCTCTAGTGCCAAAAATGTTTTTGATAAAACTATCAAACCAAACTAAAATGACATTAACTCTTCAAAAAATTTAGGTCACAAAATTAACAATATCAGGAATCAAATTTGGGATTTATTTATTTTGGCATCTTCAGTTCAAATTTGGTCTCGATTATTTATGATTCATTCTAGAACTCCACGAATTTAGCCTTAAAATTTGGGAACCAAAATTTTATGGTAAAATTATGTCCAGTTTAGTTGAAGTCACAATGCGAAATTGATACCATTATATTTGAAGCAAAAACCAGTTTTACGTATTTTGTCTTCTTCTTCCGTAAAACGGCGATGTAACATTGATGACCATTCAAACTGCCACTGGAATTTACATAACTATCAAACTATGTTCTTCGATTTGTCCCAATTTCCATGTTAGAGCCTCATTAATGCTTATATGTTTTTTAATCATCATTTGGTAGGGCGCTTGAAGCTATTTTCTACATTTTAAAAGACTCGTGGACATAAATGGATATCGATGTCAAATTCTCAAGCCATCGTAGCCAGTTTAAACAACATTTTCTTGTTTAACAGATTTTTTTGGTCTAAGTTGTGAGTAATAACACTAGTCCCAGTCAAATGATAAAAGATTCACATCATTCACAATTGAGTGAAAATTCATTTCTATAACAGGTCATTCATTTCATTAATTGGTCTCTCTTTTTCTTTCTTATAACACGACACATTCAATTTATCTTACATGGAGTTTATGGAGAATTTCTCCATGAGAGACCATAGAGAGAAGCGAGCTCTAGTGACTGGGAAAAAGGCTGATTAGTACCTCAACACTATAATCTGGTACCAATAAATACCCAAACAATTTTG